CAAATATATAATTGCATATCCAAAGTGTTTTAGAGCTATTTTAACTAATACGCTATTTATTATTCTATAGAATACTATAAAATGTAATCTATAACATAGACATTGGTATAAGATTGAAATAGGTTCAAATAAGGTCTTATTAAATTTACGTAAAAAACATCTGTACGCACCACGGAAGTCATTATTAGGAAGTAAAAAAATTAATACACATATCTAATGACTGTTTTTATCCTCCTGTTGTTTTATTTGCTTGAGTATATCTGTATATTGGTATTTTTATATCGTGTTAAAATTAAATAATATTTTCTTTTTGAGAATTTCTTTAAGCCATTTGGAGGGTATCATGGGCGAAACAATGCACATAATACTGTTCATGTCTATAGGTGACGGTTACTATTTTCCACCAGGTATGCCGTAAGCTTGTTTGCTATTATAAGTTACATTAAAAAAGGCCACATAACTTATGGTTCTTTCCTAGGACCCTAAATCACCTACATCAATTAAATCATGAACGGCAATATGTGCTTTATAATGTTTTGGTTTGAAATCAAAGAAGAATTCTCTGATGTCATGTTTGTAGGTAGTTACTTTGTATTGCTTTCGATCACCATTTTTATGTGAACTGCCAGCTTATTTTTCCACATTACGTAATAAAAAACAATATAGTGCATCACGGATTGTGATACTAGTTTTAGCTAAGGTTTGCATGACATATCCTGTTGGTGATGATTATCAACAGAACATACCATCATCTTACATTGATTTACCTATACAGTGGACCCCCGATAATCCGGCCCCTGTCTAATCCGGCGCCCCCTGTAATCCGACATGACAGAATTATGTTTGACAATCTTTGCTAATATAGATCACGCAAGTTTGAACAGGTCACAACTCGTACGCGCCACCGCTATTGTGCTCGACGCATATGCATTGTTTTACTTAGTTTGAATTTGACTACTAGTGATAGCGATACGGCCTAGCGTACGTTCATTGTTTACTATTTATTCATTGTGTATTAAGTATATGTAGTACCTAGTAATGTCGTCACAAACCCAGAAGCGAAAGCACAAAACGTTGACAATTAAAGAAAAATGTGATATTTTAGATCGCTTAAATCGCAATGAAACTTTCAGTAGTTTAGCAAGTGAATACGGCGTAGGCCGATCTACAATTTATGACATTAAAAAAAACCACGAGAAGATTAAGAAGTTCGTGTCAACTACTGACTGCGGGCCAGGCAAGAGACAGACACTCAAGAAAGCTGAACATCCAGAAGTGGAAGAAGCTTTGTACATGTGGTTTCTTCAGGAAAGAAACAGGCATGCACCAATTTCGGGACCCATGTTGGCGATGAAAGCTAAGTTTTTTTATAAGGAAATAACAAAAAAAGATGATTTTATGGCCAGCAAAGGATGGCTAGAACGTTTTAAAAGTCGTCATGGCATACGTTTAATGACTATTACAGGAGAGAAACTTTCTAACGATGCCACCTGCATAGAGCCCTTTAAATTAAGATTTTTGCAAAAGGTGAACGATTTTAATCTTGACCCGTCACAGGTGTATAATGCAGACGAATCAGGGCTTTTTTGGCGTGTGATGCCTAACAAAACTTTCGTTTCTTGTAACGAAAAAGACGTACCTGGACGAAAAGTGAGTAAAGAGCGTGTAACCATACTACCATGTGCTAATGCTGCAGGTACACACGCGCTTAAGATGGTGGTCATTGGGAAATCTAATAAACCAAGGGCATTCAAAAACATTGATTTACCTGTACACTATTACGGACAAAAAAGTGCATGGATGACAAAAGACCTTTTCAAAAAGTGGTTTGATGAATGCTTCGTACCTGAAGTTAGAAAATGGTTAAAAGATCATAATTTTCCTCAAAAAGCGTTGTTGCTTCTTGATAACGCTCCCGGTCATCCGTCTGAAGAAGAACTGACAACTGAGGATAAATGCATCACTGCGATGTTTCTTCCGCCAAATTGCACTGCACTGATTCAACCAATGGACCAGAACATCATTCAGTTTGTTAAGCAAGACTATAAAAAAAACCTACTTTTGAGAGCCGTATCAAAAGACCAACCAATAGAAAAAACTTTAAAAGAATTTAATATGAAAGACTTGGTTTTTGCTCTTAGTCAGTCGTGGAGTGCGTTACCGTCATCAACTATTAAATCGTCTTGGAAAAAGTTATGGCCAGATATAATCACCACTCCTAGCAACGATCCACAAATCAGTGTAACTTCGGAAGTTATAGAACAAGTCTCTACTGAAACACAGATAAGTCCGGAAGATTTGGAAGTCTGGTACCGTGGAATGGATAAAGAAGAAAATGTTTTTCTTGAAATGTCTGACAAAGATATTATAAAAGAGGTTTCTAATAATACAACAAACGATCAGGAAGATAACGACGACGTGATTGCAACTGCTCCACAAGTCACAGATCAAGACGCAGTTAACGCTTTTGAGCTAGGTTTACAATGGGCTGAAGAGAATGGTACATCCTACAACGAACTTTTACTTTTGAGAAGACTGAGGGACAAAGCTCTGATCTCGCGTTATAACAACCTTAAACAAAAAAAAATTGATGAATATGTATTTCAAAGCTTCATAATTTGATATAGTATTCACTACATGATTTTGATTAATAATTCTTGATTATTTTGGTAGATATGTATGTGCATTTATGCTTAATTTTATAATAAAACGTAAGCTCTCAATTGTTATTTAATTTACTAAATTCGACTTACATAAATTAAGTCTGATTTGTACTTCAAAGTACATACATATGTACGTATAATATAGTATAGACTCTCGTCATTAGATATGTAATTTGTCGGATTACAAGGTACTCTTTCGTAAAAAAATCCGGACTATAGGGGTCTTAGGCAGTGGTCTATAATCCGACAAATTCGATAGTCCGACACTGCCCTGCATAATGTTTGCCGGATTACCGGGGGTCCACTGTACTTGATAAACCTTACTGAAAAATCATATTGAAAATGAAAACAAATTATGTTCATGCTATTGAATAAGAGAACAGTTAGCAAAATATCGTAGGAAAGAAAATGAATCAATTATGACTCCTTTGACGCGACGATACATGGAGTAGAATTATTAGAATAAGCGGTAAAATAATCAAATTTAATTATTTTGAATATGTTATCAACTAAAAATCTTACTTATATAAATGAACTGCTAAAACATAAACAGTGGCTGCTAGTGTTCTTTCCTACATTTATACTACGCCTAGTTCGTGATTGCGAGATTTATACTAAGCAAACCCTGCAACTCGATAGAATAACCTTGTACAACATATATTGATAATAATAATATAGTGACATATGCTATTTGTAGGCTTGTGGTGTCTTCCGTTACGTAACTTGACTGTATTGATCTTATGGTCAAATGCATGAACTTTAACTGGCGCTTTAAAAAATAATGATTGATGATATTTTTATAAAGTACCTATATTTGTTATGTAAGCTAATATATAATCCATGATTTTTCATGTAGTAAATGTTTTTGAAGTTTAAAGATCATTTATTATTATCAGAGTCTAGAATTGAATTGAAATCTTAACTCGTATAGTCTCCACGTCAATTAGAGACAAGCAAGCAAAAGATAAACATGTTAATGAATAGTTTTTAACCAAAAAGTAAAAAAGAATGAAAAAACTGAACAGAATTTTCGCACAAACTGAAAGGTAAATTTCCTTAACAATTTTAATTTCTCAGAGAAATAGTACTTCTTTAATATTAAATTTATTTCTTAAACCTTCATACTGACTAATATTATGTTCATGCAAGTATGTTTGTTAATACTATATTTGTGACCTTTTGGAACCTTTCTGGCTCTATCAATATTATGAAATTTAGCATACATATAGAATTTAAAATGAAAAAGGACATTTTTATGGTCTACAATTTGTTTGTCCTGACAATTTTAAAATTAAAATCGTTAGAAAGATTATGTTAATGTTGAGAATAGAAATAAAATATGCTTTTAATTTTAAGGTAATACATATTAACAAAATTGTTGTGCTAATAAAGTAATTGTTTTTATCAAGTATCCATTGTGTGGGATACAATATAAAGTCTTTAAAAATAAACAGCGATACATTTCGTAAAAAAATGCAAATGTAATAAGAGAATTGATCGTTATCTGTGTTTACAGATCCAACAAAGAACTAGGTACATTAAACAACCGTGAGAGAAATTATATTATGACCTTATGTTGGATTTTAGGATTGAAATAGTAGGTTTCTAGATTTATTTACGTGCACATTTTTGTAATATTTATTTAATTACTAACTATGTCCGTGACTTCATCTGCTGAACTTCAAACTTGTACCCTTAATACTTGTGCCTGTACACTTTTTCCTTGTTAAAGACTAAGTGGATTACAAATTTCATAATGCAGCAGGTGTTTGAGACGTTAGCATACAAAAAAAAAAACGAATAAAAACACTTATTTTTTATTCACTTTCCTTATTAAGGATACATGGATCGATATTATTGATAAATATATTGTAATTCACCTAGAAATCACAAAAAAAAAGAAGTTTTGCTACTTCAAATAAAATTAGACGAATCGCCGCTAATATCTTATTTATATGGCTTGTTATTTGTCTATATTAGCATAAAACGTACACTTACGTAGTAATCTCAATAGTGAATAGGTATTAAATGCGAAATAAAATATTATTTATAATAACAACACCAACAACAATTGAAATATGATTGGATATTTTTTTTAAAGAATCGATAAATAAACTCAAATAACTACATACTTTGCGATATGTAGGTTAAGTAATGCACGTACATACGACCCACTGTCTGGCAAACAATTTACACAATTGATGAATCCCCACAACGTTTTCGTGGATCACCATACAAACTGTTTGCATGATTGTGATTAACACCTCACCTCCCAATGAAACTTCGAAATATCGTATTGTCAACACATTGCAATGATATTTATAGCTGAAGTTGCCATTTCAGAGTATAGACGTCCAGGACTTCTCCATACATATACACACATTACAGTAATTCAGTAAAGTCACCAAAATGATGAAAATCGTAAGTAATTTTTTATTAGAATATTAATACTATTTTTTAATATTATATTTGAAACTATATGTATAATTATATTTAACGAGTTTGTATTCTATTATTTTAGTTGCCGAGAACAAATAATCTAAGTTTCATTTTAAGGTATCTGAACAGACCTTTCGTATACAAAATTATTCTATTTTCAAACACTAATGTTAAAAACATTTTCAACAAATAATAAAAAGTAATATATCCGAAACTAGTTAATAGTAATATAAAACATATTTTTTTTTTATTAATGCATTAATAAAATGTTTAATTTTGAATCAAAATATTAAAAGTATGCATTCATCTTATTTTTCAGAGTTAAATAACTTTAGTAATATATCATAAAATTATTTGTGAACATTATTCAGATTTACTCTTTAATTATTATCTTTTACTGGAACTAAATCTATTTAGTTTCTAGCAAATCAAGTTGTACATAAACCGTAAATGGTAATTATTGGGTGAAACAGATAAAATGGTAAAATATTTTATCAAACCAAACAAATAATCTACATTAGATTTTACATTACATTTTAATAAACTACCTGAAACCATATTTTCATTTGGTAATAAAGTTAATTAGATAAATAAATGTTGCAGTGTAGTTTTTTCTATTGAGTTCATCTACCCGCTTGTTGCTATTAATTCAATTGATTGAACAGAGGATACAAATATAAATAAACCTTAGAAAATGCATTAAACTGCGAAACCGGTCAAGTGTTTAACAATTTTATTGTGGTATTGAGTATAAGTATTTTATAATAATACAAGTATAAAACTATTAATAAATGTTTTTTTGCAGACTATGTTTACGTTGGCAGCAATTGCGTTGGTATGTGCTCTTCCTCAATCACCTTCTCAACCTTCATCACCTGGTCAGCAGCAACCCGTACAAATTGTCAAACAAGACTCTGAAGTCGATGTCAATGGATATAATTTCGAGTGAGTTCAATTATTTAAAAAAATATATATGATCACAATTTTATTCTTTAATAAGGTAGACAGAGGCATTTGTTGACTATTATTTTTGCGATGACTATATTTTATATAATATCAGAAATTTAGAAACCGATGCTTAGCTTAGCCTAAAGCGTATCGTCATCATTTTAATTAATTATTTATTTTCATACACATTATATTTGCTGCACACTAAAATAAGGCGCTTAGTTTAAATGTCCATTATGGTGCAAAAAGTAGTAGTTTAAACATTTTTATTGCTACAAAAAGATAAATATTATCACTAATTAACTTTTTGAAAAAGAATAAGACGGCTTTAGTGGTATAATGGTTTAAAACATTATCTTATCTTTCTGTAATTATGAATTCAATCCCCACGTAACACAAAAAATTGCGTATATTTACTTAACATATATATCATTAGTACCTATGTACTCATAATATGCTTAGGAATTTAGGTTTAGGAATAAGCATGTATATTTATGTTATGATATTAAAGTCATATCAAATAACAAAGTTATTAATTTCTGTCAAATAATATGAAATATTACAAATAAAATTAATTTCACAGGTTTGAAACAAGTGATGGCACATCAAGACAGGAGCAGGGTGAGTACAAGAATGACACTGACCAACAAGGACTCTCAGTGAAGGGTAGCTACAAATACGTGGCGCCTGATGGCCAACACATTCAGGTTACATTTGTTGCTGACAAGAACGGCTACCAACCATCCGAGCATACTGGGGACAATCAACAACAACAACAGCAACAACCCCAGCAACAACCCCAGCAACAGCAGCAACAATTTCAACAACAATCCCCGCAAGCTTAACATAACTAAACTTTAACACTGTAAATTAGGAATCGTTGCGTTGACAATTGTGTATGGCTGAAACCAAATAATGTATTATTAAGTTCTGTGATTATTAAGTTCGTTAATATCTAGTCTAAAAGCAAATGTTATGGAATAATAATAAAAATTGCAAAATGATACTTTGCCACATATTCTACCTCTTTTATTTTAGTCTTTTTATGTGATAGAAATTAAGAACATTTAATGAATACGAACACTTTAAAAAAATTAATCTAGGGTATCACATATCCAGTTAATTATGGAGAAAATATAAAAAAATATTTTAAAATTTGGTTTATATGAAGTATTATTTGGTTTATAGTAAGTCTTCGTAAGATAGCGTTATAAACCATTTTTCAAAAGTAAAACTATTGCAGTTACAAATTACAAAATGTTATCACTCTTCATTCCTAGGATATCATAAGGAACAAATAAAGAAATAAAGTACAAAGTATGAGAGAGAAACGACTTGCAATAAAAGTTAATAAGCCGTAGACTCCATTTTTGCTTAAAACACGTTCACCAAAAAGTGCTACAGTCGAATGCTACCTATAATAAAAATTCGATAATGATCCTTACTTCTTCATCTAAATATATATTTGTGATATTTGTTTTTATTCAGCTAATTGAAGCTAATTATGCAGAATGGCCATCTCCTATGGATATCTTATAAGAGTTTGTTTTCTCCACAACTAGTTAAATTATATAAGTCTAACGGGCACTGGTTTCTTTTTAAAAGAAGAGTAGGTAACCAACTATGACCACGCTAGCTAGGTGGCTACCGAGCTAATGAAAAATCGACTTTTTATTTATTTATTTATATTTTATTGTACTCAAAGATTATATTGTTGTACATTTTTCATTCTTAATTTGGGTGTCTTTTTACTCTCAATTATTTTTGGGATGAGAAAATATGGTGACAGGAGCTTATAATATGTAATATGGATATAGATTATCTTATTAATTTAATATTTATAGATATCGGTAATACATCTTCATTTAATTCTGAGTTATTACTCAGAATAAAGATAAAAAAAATGTCCTAGAACATTATGTTTCTAACACCTACATTTCAATAAGTATTAAACAATGATGCAATGCACGTTTATTAATGATGGACAGAAAGTTTCCTGGTTCTTAAATCTGAACAGAATCATGTTTAATAATAGATATTCTGGTTTTAAAGTTTAGTTATAAAAAAATATTAAACTGAATTAAAATTATTACTTTTATTTAAGACTACGCATAATCTTAAAAGTTTTAAGTAACCCTTCAAAATTTTATAATATTTTATTTCTCGTTTAATTTTAATTAAAGAATGATAAGAGTTGAGTATACCAAAATAAGAATTTTTTCAGAATTAACTATTAGACTTTCATAATCTCTGTAAATAAACAAATTTCAATTTTAAAATATCTTTCTTTTCTTATTACGAATATAATATTACTTTATATATATGTATAGAAAAAAATATATAAAAACGTGATTTATTTATTACTGACGGTCATAAAAGGCTCTTGAATACTAATAAGAAGTATGTAGAGAAATGATAAAGATTTGCTTACTTCGTCTAGTAATGGTTTCAGCTATAAAAATGGAAGAACTTATAAACTGTGCTTATAGGTGACAATCACGGTTTTCAAAATACCTACCTTTTTTCTTGCCTTTTGTTCATTATTGTAATTTGATGTAGATCTTTCACGCAGAAAATGGCTTTTTTATTCTTTTTATTTACATACATACATATCTGTCACGTTTGTCTCCCATTAGGATAGGTAGAAACAATGGAATGCCAGATGCTTCGATTCAAACAAACCTCTTTCGCTTCTTCCACATTCTTCTTTCTTTCTTTTTATTTATTGTCTTATAAGAGATTACAATTGAGGGATTGAATCTTTTAATATTCAAATATAGGTAAATTAGGCATTACTCATCACAGACTCAACAAGGTCTTCTTAAATAGTTGCGTACATAGTAGTTTCTATAGTAGGTGATAACTAAGTGTATTGTCACACTGTCACGACACGACGATTCGGTGCATAGGTGAAGCATGGCAAGAAAGGTCACAGTGTGCGTGATTAAATATTTTGATTGCAATTATTTGATTACCATAAACGAACGAAAATATACTTAGTAATTATAATAAACCCGCTAACAACATGCTTTCTAACTGCATTGAGTTGACTGGAAGAGATATCTGTCAGAGATAAATCCACCCTTGCTCACAATATTTATAAATGCATTAACAATGTATTTTACAAGTGCAATAAAGAATATAATATAAACTGCAACAGCAGTGCAGACTAAATATATTAAAAGTATTGGAATAGAATTACATTATTCCTTTTTTGTTATTAACGTAGTATTTCGGAATTTTCACTGATTATAGAGCATCTGCGGGTGTACTTGCTTTATATGTTAATAATAACTGACAAGCTTTAATGCTGAGATTAAGTGGATTTTAAAAGTTACGTTTGGTTAGTTTTTATATTAGATGGTAAAATTTCATCAATTTACAGCCTTTAGAGTAGTCTTAATAGTAATAGAATATGAAATTTACGTGTGTCATAAATGGCTCAAATAAAAAGTTTATCTATCTATCTATATATCAAAAATATTCAGCACACGCGTCCATTAGTGTAACTAACAGACATATTTCACCGTAGTTATTATACATGCTTATACAATAGTCTTTATTATAAACACAAAAAAGACTATTTTGGAGAAATTGTGTGGGATGTAGGGCTGGAAAAGGGGTGATTGCTATACAGAAAATAATTCTATCCTAAGAAAGTCTTTTTAAGTGTAATTCCCTTATAATGAATAGTTTGATATTTCAGGATAGTGATTAGAAAATAAAAAATGAAAAATTAGTTGATTTTTTTATTGATTTGATGGTACTACGTGTATTTGTGGCTTGTATCCTTTGTCGTCAGCAGTAAATGTCACTAGGTACTGTTGACCGTCTGGTGCTATGTAAGAGTAGGAACCTCTCACCCCGATGCCCTGGTGATCGCCGACTGTGATTAACGAAGCTTCTTCTTTGCGTGATACACCGTCACTGGTTTTGTATCTATAATGAGAGAAATTGTAAAATGTTTATAATTCTAGTAAATATTTATTTTTATTGTTTATATAATATAAGAGAGAATTATAAAGATGTCGTAAGAAAATGAGACAAAATATAAAATATATAATACAGTATGTACTTAAAATATAGGTTAATCATAATAAGTCTAGCCAAATAAATTTAACTATGAAATATAAACAAAACTTAGATCATTATCATCGTGGGATTTCCAATTGAGGTTTAAAAATAACCTAAGTGGACAATTTATGCTGTTTATTTTGTACTTATAAACCAACTATTTTAGTATTATTACTATTGAATAAGCAGTATGCTAAACAGTTAGTTCTTTGTATAATATTTTTCTATATAATCGCGTGATCAATTTTGTATGAATTTTTACTCGCGAATTCGTCCGTGTGACCGGGATTAATTGTAAAGAATTAAGTTTAGACGTTAATAATGCTACAATGTGATCATCTATGTATACGTATATTCAATTTCTACAGACTCTGTTGTATTTTTTGTGCACTACTACAAAAGCAGAGTACATGTCTTAAGAACATAAAACTACAGATTATTATTCAAGTATAGTTATAAAACTAAATTTATATATTTTTTCTTCAGATCAATTTTTGTATAGATAGTATAGTTACAGGAGAAATATTTACCGAAACAAATTTTGTGTACATGCATTTTACTGTATGGAGATATGTTTATAATCACAAACAGGTACAAATTGGTTGGCAATCTCTAGTAATAAAACATTTGTTTACTGCAAGCGACTAATCAAGTGTCGCGCGGGAGTCATAAAAGCGGTTTTCTATTGAGCAAGTCCTTGAGCGGCGCACATATTCTTATTGTTTGAACACCCGTTAAATAAGTACATATCTGTGCTTTAGGTAAATACATCCTATGATATAAACAATTATATATGTTTGCTATGTAGATGCTATTGGTAGACAGTTCGTCGGTTTTTAATTAACCCAAAAACCAGCGAGGTAAAAATTTACGTCGTTCTTTTAATTATTCTGTATAAGTTATATTTGCATTAATATTGCAATGTGTCATATAGCAGTATTAAATGAAGTAATATAATTGTGACTGTGATATGTGAGGTGTGATTAAATGGGTGTATATTAAATATTATATATTAAATCAAAATTTCATATTAGTTGATTATTGCAATAATAATATTATCTAGGAATTTCTTGAAAATAATTCTAGGTATTTTCGATATTCAACTATATCAATACCATTATATAATTACTCGTATAAATGGTGATGTTGGTGATAAACCAGATTCACATATTGTCTCACCTTCCGATGATTGAGGGTTCGATACCCGTACAATTAAAACATTTGTATTTATAATACTATATATACGTTATAATTATATATAAGTTTTTTGACGTTTTTTCTATATGTAATATATATATATTTAGAAAAATATTCATCTAGTTTAATAATTATAGCACAAGCTTAGTTTGGGACTAAATAGTGCTGCGTGAATGTTAGTGATGTTTTAAGAGGGACGCTGCTACCTACCCTTCGACCATTAAGTTCCCTTAGTCGCCTCTTACGACTCCCACAGAAAAGAGGGTGGTGGCCCATTCAACCACATGGCAATTTATCTTGATTGAGAGGACAAAATTGTAAAAATCAGAAATCGTTTATAAATACATACTGTATAATTGATAGTAATTAAATTAGGTATACATTTAGCATTTTCCATATAAAAGGACAGTTTTGATACCGACCAATCAATCACACGAGCGAAGTACCGGCGTAGCTAGTAACACGATTATAGAGTTGTTATTAGATATAGCCAGCTTGATATTTTACGTTTATTGCTAGATATTTATCACAATTAAAGCAGATTTATGAGATGACTCAATGAAGATACCATTTTAGTGTTTTGTAACCATATAGTTAATCATAGAGCTACATAATATTATTGTAATTATTATAAGTTCAATTTAATCGTTTAAGAATAAACAGAGAGTATAAAATGTTTATATATTTTTTCATAAGTACTCATACATTTATATGCTTGTCAGTTTCAAATATGTAGGTACTGTTATTATTTGTTACCTCTATTAGTATAGATACGTTTTTAATTTTAAAACTTATTCTAGACTTGTCGTCTAGTATATATTTTAAAATTCTGTAAACTTGTAATTAATATTCGTAGCCTAGACCGGACTTAGTTTTTATGAAGATTTTAAAAACAAAGGTAAAAAAAACAAAAAAATAACGAGTAAAAATGTTATGCAGAAGTCTCGATATGATAAATTTTAATAATATATTTCAATATTATATATACATATATTTACACACACACACACACACACGCACACACACAATATATATATATATATATATATATATATATATATATATATATATATATATATATATATATATATATATGTATGTATACATAGCTTAAAGGTTTTACTGCGATTCGTATTTATTATATCATATCGATTAAGAACTCAGTTTTTTCTTATTATGCTTAATTACAAACCTTAATATTAATGCTAGAAGATATATTTTATAATCGAGACTAGTTTGATTTTAAATTGATATGCTGTTCAAGACCCCTTCCAAGATTTTATATTTAATTTAAGAAATGTATTTACATGAATATTATTAAATAAACATTTACACACTTCAGTTTGATAAATTACGAGAATATATTCATCATCATATCAGTCGTTATTTGTCTAGAATGAGTCTCCTTTAAAGACTGTCAGAAGGAACAGGGTCATTCCTTATGGTAGTTAACCACTCAGGAGATGTTGCCAGTAAATATTACGCTTGGCAGGCGGCTTGGGAACCGCAGTTCAACTTGTAATATTAATTATTTTATTTTATATTGAATGGTATTAATTAAGCATATAAAATTATAAATAATATTAAATTAATAGTTGGTTTATTGAATAATTACTTTAAATATTAGATAGTGAGGACTTATTATTTTTATTTTACTTACTCAAAGTCATATCCATCTTCTCGAACGTAGGTTTTTTCTGTAAGAATTTCTACTGGTTGTACATTTGACGCATCTTGAGCTACTAGGACCGCTACACATGCACTGAAGATGAATAATTTCTGTAACCATTGAAAGTGTTATTAAAAATGTATAAATATATATTTAATTTAACTTTATTATAGTGAATAATCATCATATCAGTTTTAAAATGTCATCAGATAATACACAATCCGTCATAAGATTTTTAATCATATTTACCACTATTATGTAAAAAAAAAAAATACTTTTTGGGTATTTTATGTTAAATTATAAATATGATAAATACCTAATAAAACAAATAATGTACGAGTAAAGGATATTATGGTAACAAATATCTGTAGTTGTAATCAATAAAAATTGTAAAGCTCAATTTCGATACATAAAATGTAATAATTGTATTTATAATAGATTTTAGACTTTAATGGGCAGTTATAGATATTATAATCCAAATTAGATAATAGCGAGCCTTACCACTGTATGTTAGTTAAATTTTTAATAACTACTTAATAATCATTATAATGAAATTACAAATTTACTTACCAAGGCGTACATTATGAATTTCACGGTTATCACAGTAAGTGATGAATGAAGTATTGACAATTTGACACTGGTAGAAAGGTTGTCGATTTCATCTTAAATACAGTGATTGTTTGTCGATATTACAGCAATTCACAATGTAACTGTACCTAGGCGTTGTTTGTAATGGAGGTGATAACACGAATAATGTGATGAAACTTCGTGTGTTCATAATTTGACATAATGCGAAATGTGTATTTTACGTAAAATTAAAAAGTATTTTCCTTTCAATCTAATATGATAGATAGATCAAAAACCTCCTGGTGATATATATTTACGCTATAACTTTTTACGAGGTAGGTAAAGTTATAGATCATAAGGTTGACTCTAATTAATTATATTGTGTAATATATATATATATATATATATATATATATATATATACACACATATATATGATTTACTAGTGTTTATTATGTTGTGTCGATTATATAATATAGTATATAGCTGTAAATAAGAGAAAAATTCATAATACGATTGGAAAAAATTATATAGCAATTTTTTTTCGAGTTGTATTATGATATTTTCACTTATTTACAACTTATGTACATTTGTGAATTTGACTGCTTTTCAGTAAAAAAAAATAGTTTAATGTTCTTTGTTATCTTAAATATTGGTAGATATATAGAGTATTCCAGAAAGAATAATTAAACATAGCTGAATTCCACTGATAGTATCTATTCGTAAAATTGTACAAGTTTTTCAAGGAATAAGTATGTATGTAGGTCAAGTAATTAGGTGAAATATGAAAATAATTTTTGAACTTTTAATACAATTAATATGCACGTATTAACAGAGTAAGAATACAATATTATTATTGCTCCTTTTCATGTTCCGGATATCGTAAGAGACGACTCCCTTAGTCGCATTAATCCACAATACAGCAGTATGAGTGAACTAAGACTCGAAATAAGACTCTGACAACTATACGATATGACTAGTAATTACATAATGAGTTAATGAACCTTTTTTGTGGACGTAGGTTTTTATTTACAGTACACAGCAATGGAATGTTAATAGTTTACATAGTAAATAAATAATTAACATTAATGAATGAATTATTTCTCTTACAATATCACAAAATTTCTGTTTATTACAATTGGCCCATCGTATTTTATATATCGCATCCGTGTAAATATATAATTTATGTGCGAACGTACTTGTATTTTTCTAAAAAATATTATAATTGATATTATTATCGAGTTTTTAAGATACATGTCTATTTCACTGTAAAAAATTGATGAAAAAATATTTATAAGCATAATTTTCATGCGAACTTGAAGTTCCACCATGTATCAACATTCACCACTATCTATTAAACTATTTATATTTTTATAAATATTTATATAAAACGACCTAAATACAAATATAATTTCGGTGCAAACAGTTAAATAATAAATCATAATAAGTTCTGATGATATTTAATAAATAAATATAAAAAAAGTGTTTTTAAGTACAAATAAACATCTTTTCGTCTTTTCACAACTAACATTACTTATTTCTAGTTGTTATTATTAATAATTGTAATTATTTTATTAGCTTTTTGATGCTATAAACCGTTTGATGATTAATTTTCGTATACATACAAGACAACAGAGAATAAATAGTACTCAAGAATGGTAGTACATATACCATGGATATTACATTGTGTAATTTTACTTTCTGTTCATTTATTTTTCATTAGTACATAAATATAGATGTATGAAACAATTTAATGTTAAGAGCATTCTCTCTCTGTCAACTTTTTAAACTTTTTTATTTGTTCAAATTTGTATAAAAAAAATATAATTTACAATTTTATCTTGTATCCATACATGCACCTATTACACAACTTCATGACATATATGATGTTTTATTATTACATAAAAATACTTTAATTATAAAATAATTATGGTTGGTTTAACACAAGGACTAAACTTCTTATCTTTTAAGATATATATATATATATATATATATATATATATATATATATATATATATATATATAAATGCTTTGCTGTTAAAAGATTACAATTGGACAAATACGATTAGTATTTTCTTTTTATTTCAAATTCGTTGAAGTTTGAGGAAGGTAAAGGTAATAAATAGAAAAATCGTAAAATTTCTTGTAAATGGAAAAATCTCATTTTTCTTTTTCCCAAATACAAACTGTTCCTAGCTATCAATTGAAATATTTTAAAGTTTTTGCCAAATGTTTGTCAAGTCAACTAATAAGAAATAAAAATAATTTTTTTTTATTAAATAACTCAGTCTGAGTTTTAACTAAGATCTAAGTCTTTATTATTCTCATAAAGGAATGAAACGTAAGCACATTCCTTTTTTTTATCTAAGATAACGTATCTACATCAAATTATTCTCCATAGTTTCTGCACCCTTAGCTTCATTCTCCATTAAAAAACATGGCAAAAATATTAATTTTGTTTTAGGTATTATTGTACCTTTATTTTGTAATTTTAATTATACTATTACGTATAAATTAATTAAATAATACCGATAATGATACTAAGTATCTATATTAAATATAAATATTACGGAGTCTTTAAATTGCTACTTAATTTGAAAGTAGCAGACTACAATTCGATCGACTGACATTATGACACTTTCTTTATGATAGTTCTATAGCCTCTTTTACCGGCTTTATAAGTCATTTCATAAAGTTGTCCTTTTTTGTCGTACCAACGGACTGCTCCCTGCACATCCAAAGCTGCTTCTTTTGTGCCGGAGTTTAAAATAGCTCCACGTTCTGTTCGGGAAGACCCATCACTGGCGTCATAGCTGAAATTTAAAATTTAATATTTCAATATTTAAATTAATATTTTAATTTTAAAATTAATATAATTTTTTTAATTCTTAAAAATAATATTTTAATAATTATTACGGAATTAAAAAAATAAACTGACTTATTATACTCGTAATAGTTAAAAAAATATTACTCAAAATAAAATAAAAAAATAAACATAACGTTGACGAAATAAAATCATGGGATGAAATATATATAAGATAATTATAAATATTGTAAGTAAGGGTATACTTATAATATTCAAAAGAGATTTCGTCCAGTAACACAATGACAAAGGAGTTAGGGGCACTTAAGTAAGATTACTGTACGAACGACATAGATACTAACACATACAGTATAAATAAATAGCTAAATAAAGTTAAATATATATTATATTATATGGATACCTAAATATGATACCTACCTGCTATATATTATTTTTTTAATAAAAATATTTTTAATAGTCAGTCGGGTTACAGTCATTGTAATAATGCAGATTTATTTTATTTATCATATATATTTTGTGTCTTGAGTATTTAATTTATGAATCAGATTTACCATTGAAGCGAGCAACGATAATTTAAGAAACATGTTTAAACGACTTCAAAAAGAAAAAGGTACTAAATTTATTAGTATTTTTTGTTACTTTGTTTTCACATCTTTGCCGAATGGGTGACCGAGTTTGATTCTTTTTGTATATTGTGTCACAATTTAAAGTCGTTGGTTTGCTTAAGAAATGAAATCATAAATTTTCCAAAATTTAAGATATATATCCTATTACTATCATGACTACATACCATTATTTATTTATAAATGCAATTATTTATAAAGAAATGATTTGAGACACCTAATGTTATTATTACATTCTGTATCGGCTTCTCTTCTTATCGACTATGTCCCAGTTATGTGGACATAACTAGTAGTTAAAGACATTTGCATTAAATTTATTTTAAATGTATTATATATATAATATTAGTATTATGATGCAGGGGGGAAAGGGATTATTAGTAATGGAGACTGAGAATCCCATTGCTAGCAATATACTCAACCAGGTCGAACTACTCGCGGTTCCCCCTGGAAACTATCATGGTTAATTCCTGATGAATTCATCGTGATGGGCTAACTGGCCTGTTTTCATTCTCATCTATCACCCTTCACTGGTGCTCCGCCAGCGTAGCCCGTTAGCGCAGGCAGGGTTACTATTCAATTTTTATCCATAAAAAAAAGTATTATTGTGCAATATTTTCAACTTCGTCCGATTGACCGAGTAAAGATTATAAACTGGGAAAAAAAGTAGTTTATGTAATTTTTCCATCTGAAAAAGTACGTGTATAGAAAATTTTATAATTATACAAAGTCTCTTTCGTATATATAATATTATGTAGTAAGGATTATAATTTATAGATGTTTAACAATATATGTTGCGTTAAAAATGCTTAACCTAGACAAATTTGTTGATGCGATTATTAGGAGCACGAGTATAAATTATACGCATAAATCAAATATTGATTATCTTTAATTGACATGATTAAGTTTAATTTACTTTTTACATTTTTTGCAAATAAATATTTATGCACCTAAGGTCATATGGTACATATCAATTTTATAATCATGCTAAAGTTTGGAAAGAATCATTATTTGTTATTCACACTAACCGTACTTCCGCTTAAAATAACGCAACGCCTGTGAGATGCATATTAAACAGAATTACGTTTTAAATTGTTCTAATATTAAAAATCCAAATCGTTTAGCAAACGATGGAGTGGGCATGTTTGAAGTTTCACTGTGTGATAGATTACGAAATATGAATTTCTCCAGAAGAACCAATGTTATGAGTTATATGGATAACTTCATTTCATTCATTAGCTACATAAGACGAGTTAATTAATGCAATGAAGTTCATTCATTAACTTTGTGTAAAAAGTGATAAATCGAGTATAGGCAAGTAATGGATCCTATGGGTAAGTCCCATAACAATTACAACAAAACAACAATTATCTACTCGTAACTCCAATTTAAAAAAAAAAAACCTGTTTAACTTATTTACTATTACTATAGAATATTTTTCCTAAACATGCATATGCGAATGAGATTAAAAAGTGGGATACATTGCAAATAGATCTAATTTATGATGTCCTTTAAATACACCTTAATTAAAGTAAACCATAATTGGGGACATGGTGCTCAAATAACGGATGTTTATAAGGGTATCCGAGCAGCGGTCACCGGCCGTTCAACTTGGAGGAGGCGTACCACATACCACGTTTTTGTACCGCGCTACTTGTATGACATTGTCACCATTCTACTTTTTTAATATCCCCGAATGACATATACGATAAGTAGATACCATTTTAACAGCGTCTTATTATTGTGCCTACACTCACAAGTCCATGACCTGACTAGATCCACGCAAGCAATTATTATAACCAATTATTATCTATGCAACATATTGTTATATTATGAAATTAAGAAAGATAAGTATAAAAAAATTTAAGTTTAACCTACCTAAAAGAATAAAAAAAATGGTAAAGATGATAAAATCT